TTTTTTTTATATAAGTTGAATGAATTATAATATATATGTTTTGTGATAACAACTTACCTCTATAGTGAAGCCTGTAGTAGGTGTGATACGTGCTAAATCTTGTCCTAATGTACGGATTACTCTACGTCCCCATATCCATAAGCCAGCAGAGATACCTAATCCACCATAGAGTAGTATTAATATTGGTGTTTCAGCCTCTTGTTTCGCCGAACCTTCAGCATATATTGCCCATAGTGCTATGAGAGGACCGATAGCATTGCTAACATCATTACCACCATGTGCAAAACTACCAAAACCAGCTGTTAATACTTGCAGAAATGAAAATAACTTTGATACTTCTGGTTGTTCTTCATCTTTTTTATTATTTTCAGTTTGATTTTCTTCTGTATTAGAACCAGCTACTATTAAAAGTGGACTAGCACTACTGTTACCACGTAATTTTGGTGCAGCAACTTCTTTTGCATCACTATTACTACTACATGGATTTTCCGAAATGATAGACATAGCTGTTGTTTCACTTTTATCGCACGTACACAAGGCCGTCTTTTTTTCAACACCAGGATCAGTTAAAACGATCCTTTTTCTTTGCCATGGTACAACAAATAAATAAACAATAATTCCTGAAAATAACCCTAAACTCAATGCGGCCGTTAAGCTACCCCACCATGGCATTTTGTCCAACATTAACACTGTGTGCAATTAAAAATGTATAATTAATTATTATTTTGGAAATATTTTCTTCCATTTGTTTTTCATAATAGCATGCTAATATAGATAAAAGGTGATTGATTACACACATTTAGGTCCATCATGCGCAACTGAAACAACATTGACAGCAATGGTGAGGCCATACGCCAAAGGAAGTATATGAAGTCCTTTTTCAAAAGGATTGCTAGATCTTAACACAAATTTTCTTATGAGCCAAAAGATACTAGCAGACACGATGCCACTGAGTACAGGGCTTGCAAACCACGATGCTGCTATATTTATTAGGGCAATCCATTTTACCTGTAGATTTAAATACAACTTATTATTTATTATCAATAGATAAGAATATTATTAAACAAGTTGTAAGTATTACAGACCCCTGCTGTTCCTCTACAAACAAGAGAAAATCCTACGGTAGCTCCAACTATGGAATGTGTACCAGAAATTGGAAGTCGAAATGCTGTAGCAAGCAATAAACAGATTCCAGATCCAGTTAGACTAGAAAGTGCTCCTATCATTAATTCTTTTTCATGGCCTTCATATAATGTGACATCTAGTATACCCTTACGCATTGTATCAGAGACCTAATGGTGGATATATCGTGTAGCGATAAACAAATTGAACAGGAAAACAAATATTTCATGCGTATATTATTTTCACTTTCATTATTAGATTATACCTTATATCCTATCAGTACAGCACCAGCAATTTCAAAGAAAGTTGCCAAGATGCAAGCTTGAAAAATTGTAAGGACACCAGCACCAACACTTGTCCCAAAACTGTTTGCAACATCATTGGCACCTATGCCAAATGCTAGGACGAATGCTACTAAGAATCCAACTATTAGTATCCAAATAAGATCTTCGTCATATGGTATGCTCATATTTGTGTTATTAATGAACAATGCTATTTGAGCTTTGACAATGCAATGATTATTTTTCTTGGCGTTATATATGTTCGTCTTAAAGTTAATAGGCGCAATCAACTTGTTTTTCTTAATATTTGCATAACAATGGATATCAAACAAATAAACATATATCAAGAAAAAGCTCTTCAATTATAGTTTCAATTCTTTCAAGAGTACTATAGTACTTTAGTACATAGAAATATTAATCACCAGAATATATATATCTTTCTATATACACTCGAGTGTATATTTATATTATTTATTTTATTTTATTTTATTTTATTTTATTTTATTTTATTTCTAACACAATCAATTATGTGTTTATATTTTTGTACATATAACAGAGGTAGTATTTAGATACAGCACCTGTTTTACCTAACGGCATGACTTTATTGCTCGTTAGCTTGCTATTATTTTACCAATTAAATTATTGATGTTTGATGACCCTTATATGTTGGCTAGTTTTGCTTGGGTCACAATTATAATGTTCAGTTTTGGAATTATTCTTTGTCAGCATCTTTCTTTCACAAATACATGCCAGTTCTTGCAGTGACCACATCTGAAAGAGAAATGTATGGAAGAATTATGTAATACACCTTACAAAATAAATCCATTTATTTTCTATCCAATTTAATCCTTATATTTTATCCCTATATTTTTCGAAGTAATTTTCTATGCTTACATCTCAATTTTCAATTGTCATTGATTATTTAATGGAAATTTTCTAATAGAGAAATTATCATTTTATCCAATTTCTTACGGGAGCTTCATACAGATTGGAACATCCCTTTTTTACACTTTGTACTTTTTACCTTTTATTATTTTATATCGCGATCTATTTTTATTGTTTTTTTTTTTTTTTTTTTTTTTTTTATTTTATATCGTTAAATCGATAAAACAGAAAATATTTGATTTTAAAGGAAAAAGTAGGTGGTAATTTTAAGAAAAATCGTTGGATTTAATGTCAGAAAAATTGTATTCGGTTAGGGATATATGATGATAATTGAATAACGTGAACGCGGAATAAGTTCATTGACGACAAAGATTAGGAAAGTTTTTAGTCGATAACGCGTGCTTATACTTTTCGAGATCTCTATCCGTTGCCATCATGATTTCTATTTGTTTCCTTATTTCCTACCTTTTATAACTGAGCACTTTTTGTAGAACGACACGATTCGATGAGATCATTAGCGATTGTTATCAACTTGATGTCTTCTTCGATATTTCAATTAGAGTTAATTACATGCAAAATATATCGAAAATAAAAATGCTCGCAGAGTTCGCGACTTAATGTAGAAGTCTTTTATAACCGGGAGATACTTGTCACATCCCCCTCGAAGGGAGAGGGACTGAGATATTGATCCAATATTTACCCGCGAAATTCCTTTATAGACGTTATGGATTGATTTATTTTACAACTATTTGACCAAAATTACATGTTATTTGGATTTTTTTATTTTGTTTCTTCATTTTTTTTTGGTCATTTCACCGACACTCTTTCATATCTCACTATGAATTATTCACGATTTATACGCGCAAGGAAATGACTCGTTTAAGGTTGCATAAAGGATGTTAAATACGTTAAATATACCGGTGCAATGCATAATTGCCGTTAATCGTTTATCTCGTTATAGCTATAGTACTACATTTTTTATTCATCAAAATTGACTGTTTTTATAATGATTATGCGATTAATTTCATATAGATATTCAACATACGTTGAACTTTTTGTGAACGAAATTATTTATGATTACCTGTATACATCTTAAATTCAATAGCAAACATATAGGAGGTACGTCAAGACTTTGAAGTATTTGTTAATTTGTTATAAAAGGTATATAACTAATAATTTACATTAATAAATTAAATTGATAAATTATTTAATTTAATATATTTATAATTTATACATTATTTTCATGTGTTGGACACATTTTTCATATTAAATGAGACATGTATCAGTGTACTATAAAATATACAATTATTCCTAATACGTTTCTAATATCAATTTTATTCCATATTCCATTGTTCTTTTTCTTCTCGCTCTTTAATAACTTCATCTACTATTGGGGTAAGATATAATACATCCTATAAAAATAATAACACGTATTAAGAGAGACGAAACAAAATATATACAATAGATGAGACAATAGAGTTAGAAAAAATAAATCATTTACATCTTCGTATTGAGTCCATTGTTCTTTGGGGAGAATTCTTTTCATTGCATCCAACTGCATTGCTCTTATTATGCGGAAATTACGTTCATCTTTTATATGATCTGGAAGTCTACTTATTGCTACTGCTACATCTGGATCAAGTTCGGTCCGTAGATCATCGCGCATTAATCCTAGAATTTTTCAAATGTTCTTTTTAACAACACTGTTATACGCTATTACACATGCACATAACATATATAATATAAAGGAGTATATATATATATACTAGGTTATAACTTTAATCATTTTTTAAATAGAAATAAATGACAATTGCTTAACGTACTATAAATACTAATTAATAAATGTTTTTTACCGTATTTATTAAAACCAGAAATATTGTACAACCACTTTTGTCCTGCTGGAGCTAAAATAAAAAAACGGAAAATGTGTAATTATATAATATATTTTTGGTAAAAAAATAAAGATGACAGCATGTATAATTGTAAAATAACATCTTAACAAAAGAAAACATATTTACTTACTTAGCATTTTTTGAAATGTTTTGATTAACATTTTTATACGTTTCGATTTGTCAAATGCAACCTGCAATAACAATATCGTCTCTTTTCTCAAGGAAAGCAGTATTATTGAATAATTGGGAAATAAATTTGACAACGCTCGAAACGCCACTCAGTGCTATTTTGTGTAAGTTTTCATCTTTAGGACCATGAGTCTTGTACTCTTAGATGGTCCATTCCTAAACCGTTTTTACTCACTTAATTATGGAGGGTATCATTTAATATAGACTAAATTAATAATAAAACACCTCCTTTTTTTGGTGTCTTAATTAAGAAAAGGTGGACGGAAAACTTTTGGAATTATTCGTGCCTCGCAAGGAGATGCGCGCTTGTCTGGCGCATCTTTTTCTATTGGTGAGACTGTCAACTAATGAGATCAACTGACTAACCAGTGATTAAATGTGATTGGTCGTTGCGTCATCTAACGTCGCTCTCTAGGCGTCCTCTGTCGACTAGTCTATGGTATAACCGCCATATTTATTAACGCGTTTGTAAACCTATCCTAATCCCGATAATGTTATACGTGGCGGAACATTTGTGTTAGTTGTGTAGTTTATTGTGATACTTGTGTGTTGAAGAGGAGTAAGTGAGGATAATCAGGGAAAGTTACAAACGACGATTTTCAGAGAATGTATGTAATTTGTAACAGATTAGTATAATTATTTTGTTTTAATATTACTATTTTCATTCTATTCACCGTTCGTTATTGTATTGTACACTGTTGTAAATTAAAAGTGTTCATTTATTTGTTTATTATATATTAAACAAAATGATAGTCGATTATTCTACTAATTTATTAAAAAATATCCACGAAAGTCTTCTTACCTCCGATAAAAGGGAGAGTACAGTTATACGAGGTATTTATGAATACTGGCACTACGGTTGTGATGGTTTTAATGACAGGGTAGATAATTTTAATGTATATCTATCTAATGAAATGGATTATAATATGTAGAAAGAGAATAATATGTGTAATCGAAGGATATTTTATTTAGGGATGGGGTTGTGGGTATAGAACATTGCAAACAATTTGTTCATGGATTATAATTAATAAGAATTTAGGACAAGAAGTTCCAAGCATATCAAAAATACAAGAAACGCTTGTTGCATTGGAGGATAAGGAGAAATCATTTATCGGGTCGAGGGATTGGATAGGATGCTTTGAAGTGAGTCTTTTATTATAACTATTATATTTTTTATTCTATTCAAATTTTTTTTTTTTTTTTTTTTTTTTTTTTAATAAAAATGCCATTTACTAGTTATTCAACTTATAGGTATGTCTTGTTCTGGATAGTTTATATAATATAAATAGTAAAATTGTTCACATTGCAAGTGGTCGAGAACTACCTAAATATTTACACATTATTAGACAGCATTTCGAAGAATTTGGAAGTCCAATTATGATGGGAGGAGATCAAGATTGTTCTAGTAAATGTATCGTTGGTATACATACTGGATCGAAAAAAGCATATTTATTAATCATTGATCCACACTTTATAGGTAAAGCTAAAAGCGCTGAAGAATTAAAAAATAAACAATGGGTAAGATGGCAAAATATTGAAGAGTTTGTATACAGTTCTTTTTATAATCTTTGTTTACCACAGATCAAAATAATTTGATATACCGATTGAATTTTATTTTATCTTTTTATTTAACATCTAATTCTAAGATTAATATCTATAGGATTAATCATAATTATAATGTTTCGTTAATCTATTTTCTAGATTATAAATCTTTTCAATTCTGTTATATGTTATTATTATTTATTATTATGAAATTAATTTAGTCTGTGTTGAGTAAAAGGCATACACCCTGTAAAATCCAGTGCGAAACATGTTCCTCCGTTGAAAGATCTGCTTCAAATATCAAACCTTTACCCATTGCATCTCGCCTATTTGATGTTGTGTATACTGGAGTTTTTACTGTATTCTACATAAATTTATATAAAAAAAAAAAAAAAAAAAAGAATGGCAAAAATATATTGAAATGATTAAACATCAGAGGAGAATGAGTTTTTTCTAAATCTAAACTTTCTATAATTTATCATAGATATACCTGAAGTTTGAGTCTATGAGCTTGAATAGGTATTACCAAAAGAATTGGCAATTTTTCAGTAAGAATTTTTGGATAAGACCTTTTAAGACAGTTTTCTTCCACATCCCATCGAGCTCCTTCCAAATATAGGCCATGTATGTAGCAACCCTTTAGTTTAAAAATTAACTAATTACTTAATTACTTATTACGTAAGTTTATATAAACGGATTATTTTTAAGAGAATTCATTTATTCATGTTGTAATTCATTCACGTACTTGTTCAGGTTTTTCTTCTATAGCATCGACTTTGGTAAATTTAGTTACGGTTGTATAAATAAGCGAGTGATCTAACGGCCAATTATTTCTACGACATGTTATTTGTACTAGAGCTGCTAGATAAGTTTCTGGGACGTGCAAACCAGATAACCACATAACTATTGGTTCATTGGCACCAGACTAAAAAATCATTTTTATATTAATATGAATTAATATAATAAATGAAAATATATTATGCCGTCAGTTGTGCAAATATCATATGAAAGGATTATATCAACAAACCCAATCTGTATATTGTGTTATTCTCTTTTGAAAGTGATCCATCCAATTAGCGAGATTTTTTCTTGTATCTGGTGCTAGTCTGAGCCATTCCTTAGGTAAAATACCATTATACAGGGCAATAGAAATATTATCAAGAATAGAATCCATTTCTATCTCTCCTGCAATAGCCTAAAACAGTTTTTAATAAAATAAAAATAAAAATTAATAAATAAAAGTTTATTAATACTACACGTTTTTCTTAAGTATATAATAGTTAATAATTACCTTTCGTAGTTGAGAGAGAGTCCTTGAAATCGTATTTATTAATTTATTAATCCTTTCTAATTCTTGGAAGAGTACAATTGTCGATGGTGTGACGCCCACTCCAAAATTTTTTTTTACTTTATTTAAATCAAATTCTAAAGGTATCCTTTCAAGAATGTCCTTTGCTATGTTGTCTATAAATTCTTCTTTACTAATTCCTGTTGTGCTAATTGCTATGATAAAAAAATATTTAATGACACATGGTTTATTGCACTTGTCTAATTGTGAGAAGCTCTTTTCCCTGCTTCTTACCCGTTTGTGGCTGTAGTTCTATCAGATTGGCCCATAACTCTCTAGTAGCTTGATTAAAGTAACCAATTTCAGCGTTAGAATGAAGACCAAAAACTGCTGGAGTATTGACCAGTGGTAATTCTTCGATGAAATTTAAATACGCTTCGTGATCTCCTTCTGGTGGAATGACGTAATCAACGTAGTTGTCCTGATAAAAATGAAAAGGTTGGAAGGTGTTGAATAGGAAATCACCAAAGAATTCATTCATGTAAGTTTCCGATACTCGACGATCGTAACTATCGATTACTCTCCCGCCATACATTACCTACAAATTTATACAATTATGAGTATATTCTCATATCAATTTATTTGTTAATCTACAATTCTTTTTAATTATCACTTACTTCTCCTATTAAATATTTTAAACTATTCCATGGTATCCGTGTATCGTTAAACTTTAAAGCTTTTGACAAATAAGTATCTATTATAGAAGTACATACATTAAAATCTGATTCGTTAAAATCATAACTTATATTCCATCCAATTTTATCGTATTTTCTTCTTTCCTGTTCAGTCAAAAGTTACGAATGAATTTGTATTTATTACAAATTCATATATAGTATTAAGTATTGATTTTACCTGTACAACTGCATGATAAAAAGCTAGTACATAAATGAGGTGTTTATATGCAGGATGATTACAATTCTCCAGAGTCTGTGGTGGCATTTTTAAGTAAGTATTTTGTAAATTAAGTTTTAAACCGTTTGGTGGTTCTGTAACAACTGAAAAGAAAAATATAATTGATTATTATATAATGAAATAATATTAGTCTTTTTTATTTATTTCAATTGGTATAGAACTTAAATTCATTTTAAATAAAAAGTTTCAACCTTTTACAGATTGTTGTAAAATTCCTATGGGAAAATCGGGAGTTGGTTCAGTTGTAAGCCATAGTCGAAAATCAGGATGCGGTTTCTCTAAATTGTCTAAATGGCTTTCCAATTCTTTGATGAAATCTAATAATAAATGACCATTTTGTAACATCAACCATTGTCCTCTAAATATAGCTGTTTCTAATAATTCTATTGCATTCTGAAGAAATGAATAATAATAATCGTGTCAGACATTAAGATCGCGTTATATTGTAATATACTATATAATATTCAGAGTAAGTAAGTATAACAAGTTACGTACTTTTTCTTGATTTTGACCAAGTGATAAGTATCTGAATTTTCCTCCACCGAAACCATATCGTTCTGCTAGTTTCATTAATTGAGAGGTAGGGTCCGAACCGGGACTTAAAATTAAAATTATTGGCATCATAGCAGTGGATTGTTGAAAAATTAAATCCAGATTGACATGGGGCGGCGTTACATACTCTTCCCCCATAACTTCGGTTATATAATTAATAACAGCTCGATAGACTCTATCCACGCGAAAACATCGTATTAACATTAATTTTTCGAATGGTTTTAACACAGCAGAATAATTAGAAGGAAATTCTTGTGACTCTGGATCATCCATGTCATACCACTAAAAAATGATAAATTGTAATTTGTATATTGTAAGGGATTTTATTGATCTCTTGTTAAAGTTAGAATAATGATTACATTTTTCCACTGGTCCATATTTTCAGTAATATTATCAGGCAGATTAGCAAAGGTTTCAGGAAAATCATTAGCTAATTTTAATAAGTCTTCCCATCCACTGGAAGGTAACCATTTAATAGGATTAACTCTGCTTGACATCTTAGTAGTAACGCATCCTTTTATAAAGAAATCCAATTGTTGCTGTTTAACATTATTAACACTCTGTTCTATGTCTATGCAGATTTTGAATGAATACAGAATTTTATGCTTTTCAAATATTCCCGTGCATCCATAATCATAAACATTTTTTGTCAATATTGGAATAATGTTACGAAGACGTTTGACCAAAGTTGGATCTGGTAAAGCTTTTCTTAAAGATAATATGAAAACTTCAATGTAATTGTTCAAGGAATACTGATACATTGTATTCACCGTAGGCAATTCAGTTAAAACGAAAAACAAAATAGCCCCTCTTTTTGCTACTGGCCGATAACCATCCCGTAATTTATTTAAATCAACAGCCGTCACTTCACCCAGGAAGAGTTTCGTTGTCACTTCGCTAGCACTTGATTTGGTATTTTCTAAAGTTTCAATTAAGTCAATGTTATCCAGCATATTGCCTTTGTTCGTGGAAATTTCTCGTAAAAGACTATTTTCGAGTTGTCGAAGTAAATTTTTATTTTCACTTATTTCAGTTATAAGTCTTTCGCGTTGTTCTTCGATATCTGGTCGTTCGATTCTCACTACTACTGATAATAGTTGATCTTCTAAACCCTGTATTTAATGAAAACCGATTGCCAAAGTTTCAACCTTTTCCCTATTTAAATTAAATAACATTATTCTAATTTTATACTTACTGCAGTAGTCACTGTATAGTTTATGACAATAGCTTTTGAATAGACGGCAGGATTGAAGATAGGATTTGACATTTTGGTAGTTAAATATATGCGAAATCTTGGATCATAATCAACTTCTTTAGAACCTAACATAACAAAGGTTCTTCCTCCTATTGCTATAACATATATAACATTAATTCATTAGACAAATTATATATTATTTTTTTATGTATATTTTGCAACGAATTCCTACTTMAATATTTTATATTTTCATCTTACATTGAATATTTTTCGATATAACATTATTTAGAACAGGATCGACTTCGTCAACGTCTTGAAATAAAATTGGTAAACCATATTTTATTGCTAGTTCGACTTGTTTCAAAAAATCTGCATCGGCAAAAGAAATAATTTTCAAGTTTTTATTTCGTTCCTTTTTTTTAATCCATTCTAATGCTTGCTGCTGAGGATCAATGCATAATGGAAATCTTGAAGCTTTTAGCGTTAGGATACCATTTTGTATAGAAAGCTCATCCGGTGGAAGTCCTTCCGAGGTCCATCTAGATAATAAACACTTTTAATATAAACTGTTCTGATCAAATAACAACAAGTTTTAATATCCTAGCCCAACTCACTTGCTAATTTCCACATCATCGCTAAGCTGTGTTTGTATATTAAACGGTTCCGAAAGCGGTATTCTTCTTTCTGCGATGCTTCTCGACCAGTCGTTATAAATCATATCGTTCCTGAATTCGTATGAAAATGGTCCACAATAGGCGAGAAATCCAGAAGAAAGTAGACAATTTCCAATGATCTTTTCTTCTTCTTCGTGTAATTCTTTCAATTCTTTTTGCCAACGGATATTTTCCGAAGAGAGACCACCGATTAATTTGTCAGCGGCAATTAGCCTTCGTTGCAAAAGATTCGTTTCTTCTTGAAGCTTTTGCTTTTCCGTCATAGCAGATTCGTATTTAACATTTAGATCTTCTATAATCTTTTCTATTCGTTTCAATTCACGTTCTTCTTTTTCTAAAGCTTTTTGTGCTCTTTCAGATTCTATTTGTAGCATTTGAACTCTTTCCATCTTTGGTTTAACCTATTGAAAATGTTCTAATGTTAAAAGAGAAGAAGAAGAATATAACCTTGGGGTGATTGAAATAGATTTGATTTTTATTTCAACGAAGGAAGAATACTTCTCTGTAGACTGCGCAATAATCTAACACGGCCAAGACAAATTTATAAAGGCCATATCCAGCTTTACTAATTGACTCCATTTGATCCATTTTCGTGGACTTCCTTAAGTGCGCTCTGACAGCTTGTTGCTGCCTCTGCGTGATTTGTTCACAGTTCATTTCTTGTAACAATCTTAAAAAACTTGGATCGTTCATCATACCCTTTGCACCTTTCCAAGATATGTCCTTGATACCTCGTAATATGGCTACACATTCAGAGACTATTTGTACGGGCTTTGGAGGCGTAGCAAATGATCTAAATGAACAGATAGAAAAGAAAAGAAAAGATAAGATACATAAAAGGACAAAATGAATAGTTGTCGATATAGGACAAAAGAAACCTTATTTCAGTGATGTCCGACTTATCGAGTTCTCCAAGAGCCAATCTTGCAGCGTCTAAAGCAGGCTGAGCCGCAGCAAGAGCTACTTTGGCTTCAGACTCTTCTTTTCCAATGAGTTTTCTTTTCTCTTCAATTTCTTTTTGCTTGTTCACGCTCTGTTCTTTTTTTTCCATTGCAATATCTGTACTTTCACCAATGGAAGATAATAATTGTTCACAATTCCTCGTTTGGTCGGCTACTTTAACTCTTTGTACAGCCAGAATCTTATTCAATTCGGCTAAAGTAATTGACGCTTCTTCGATTTTTTGTAAACCTACATAATCATACAATGATAAATAATTATTTTCTTAAATTATATATATATTATAAAAAATGTTCTATTAATCGAACAGTAAATCTAAACCTCCAGTCAGACGATCACATTGCGTCTTTATATAATCTCTTTTCTCAATTAATAAACGCAAGAACGTGTTTATAAAATTAAGATAATCTTTTGGTGTAACATAATTTTTTCGTCTTAATTTAACTAGAAAATCTACAGTATATCGTTCAATAACAGACTTATGAACGTGCACCATGTGCAACACTATGTCTTCTCTATATTCTTGCGGCAGATTTGGATTCTGAAAAAATCAATCAAATGAATAAAATGAATAATGTCCAAGTCTTCATGTTATTGCTAACGCGAATACGTTGTACGCATGTTATAACGTACGTCTCTTAAAGTAACATTAGCTACAGCGATCAATGCCTGATCCGGCCATGGAAACATCCAATCTATTGTAGTACTGTTCACTAAACCAGGATAATTACGACAGCGTATTCTCAATAACTCATCAGCAAGATTCATAGATAAGGCAATGCGTAAATTATCAATACATGACTTTTCAAAAAATGCCCATACACTTTCCCTGAAAGAGAGATATTACGCTAATATACCTATCTAATTACCTATTGTAATAAATATCGAAAGAAATATTAAATTGTGAAAATAATATTATTCGATATTGTCTAACCTCGTAATATCAAAACCAGCTGTCAGAGCATTATCTCTACATGAAGTAATAATTATATCTTTTTCTTCGTCGGTAAAAAGGGCAAGCACTAGACCCGTCATAAGTATATTGTTGATCAATTCCAAGAAACTCTCATTTATTATGTGAGAAGCACTGAATAAAAAGACTATTTTCTTATTCTCGACACCGATCATATTGTACAATCTTTTCAAATCTTCGCGAAAAGTATTTTCATTGTATCCACGACTCAAGTTGATTTCAAAGATTGAACTATTAGCAGCGAACGAAGCAAGTCTTATTATTGACTGCTTTCCACTACCGCTGGTGCCTACCACGAGAGCGTGGCCACGATGCATTCTGAGAATACGATGAACTCTTGTCAGATGTTCTAATGCATCATTGAAAAGAACCATTTGTAATTTTGCAATATTCCTTTCGTTATATTCTTCGTAAATCTGTACGAAGATAAATTACATTTTTTTTTTTTCGAGCACTGTAGTAATGAATGTATGAATTTTCATTAATGAAAAGCTAGAAAAAACGCTACCTCTAAAAGTAGATTATATACAGCTTCGTAGTCCAACAGATCCTCGTAATACCTAGGCTCATCCTCATAACAAGCATTTCTAAAATCTCCAAAAAGCAAAGGATCCCTTAATGTGTACTTAATTAATGCAGGTTTTTCTTCCCAAACATCTTTTATCTTGTTAGCTATATGTTCTTTTATTAAATTTTTATCCTAAAGCGCATATGTTATGCTTATGTTATGTTTCTTGGGAACATTTTAAATTATAATATAATAAAGAAATATTATAGAAGAAAAATGTTATTACATCTTCGGTAATTAATCTGTCGCATATCACTCTTGTAAATTCATTTCTCCAAAGTCGAACAAATCGCTCTACGGTTGGAAAATAATCTGGATGACTTTGAAGTACACCTGCCATTATTCTTGAAAGATCTCGCATATTGAAAATATAATGAAATTTTGATGGGGTAGGCAATAATTCTGTTAAAACTATCTAAAATAACAAACACAAAAATATTTAGTATCCATTTTCTGAATAATTCATTATTCGTTTATGAAATTAACGAATTTATATATTTTTGGACAACCTGATAAAGCTCCAATGTAATATGAACAATATTATCTACGGTAGATTGTACTTCTTCTGGAAATATTTCTAAATGTCCCTTTAAAATACTCTTATAAATATAATGAAGCGTTTCGTTCATTGGAAAAGTAACATTATAAACTGAAAACATTGAAATAAATCGTGGATCGACTTCCTTTCTTCCACCACCAGGTTTTCCCATAGCAGCTAAATAGCCTGTGATGTAAAATTGACAAATAATTAAATATATAATATAGAAAATAAAACTCTTCATTGAAAATGCTTGAAAAATGTTGAAAACTTAACAAATATCTTTGATATATTTCCAATTCAAATCTTTTCCACGACCGTAGAAACCACTTCTTCCAAGTAATAGTTTGAGAAATGCGATCGGTTGTTGAGTCCCATATGTGTCCACCATTGGCATATTCATATCATCTATGAAAATAATTAACTTTTTTCCTGGTGGTGGCCCATATATTTCTCTGGATCGTTTTTCCACAGCTGATTCAATACTTTTCTGCACATCCATCGAAGTTGTTCTTGATGAGAAATTAATAGGTAATTTTTTCTGTAATAATGAAATATGTACAACAGTTAAGAGTAAGTCCGTTAAATAATTTGGTTTGGTTTGGTTTGGTTTGTTTGGCATGTTGAAAGCGACAACGCGTCGCAAAATGTCTTATATTAATATAAGATACTTGCATATTTGTCGGAATCAATGGTCCTTAAAAAATTGTGAATTATAGCTGTTTTGGAGGTACCAGTTTCGCCAACCAATAGCGTAGGTCTTTGTAGATTATTCATTAAATTGATAAACCATATTGCTCGACAAGAGTCTTCTGTGGGTACTAATATTTCCGAAAAATTTTTCAACCGATCGTGAACGTATAAAGGTACAAGCCATTTCCATGGTATCCATATTTTTTTGTGTATGTCCAAAAAATATTCGTACAATGTATAAAATAGAATTGGTATGTATCCTGCATGCACATATTACATATTATCTTTATTTTATTCCACATTATTATACTATCTCATTGCTATTTACTATTGTTCATTGCAATATTATTGATGCTGAATAATACAAAATATTAACTCACGTATCGTTGCTGGTTTTTCAGTCGTATCTTCAACGAGCATAAATCCAGTAGTTTTTTTCATATAATCATCAAAAGTCTTTCTAGCATTCTCTACTAAGGAAGCTCCTAAGGAATAATAACACGATTGAATATACATTGCTTCTAGTAGGTCCTCTCTAGTTGCAGTATATTCATATTGAATCGGTTGTTCATCTTGATCCGTTAAATAAGACTTGCTTTTTAAAACTTCTTCGTCAGCTTGTAGCAAAGAATACAATCCATCAAACACATACGATAGTTGTATTACCTACAAAATATATAATAAGTAGTAGTCCCCTTTATTTACATATATTAATATTACTATGCATTCATTCAAGCATTACCATGTTTAAATTCGTTTGAGGAATAATCATTTGAAGTGGTTTTACTCTTTGTAATCCCATCATTCCTTCTATAATAAGATTAAGCGCTCCATGTACATATTTCTCGCACATTTTAGCAAGGAATTGTTGATCATCCTCATTTTTAGATTTTATCCATTTATCGATATATGGTTGATAACCCAAGTTCTTTGGATCTACATAAACCATACCAGCTCTTGACACAGTAGCAGGAGATGCATATAATAAATCACCTACCTAAATTGACAAAGAACAGTTTCAAAATATTATCCACAAAATGTTTAATTTTACATTCATTATGTAATGTCTCTGTGTAACATTAATTATTATTTTCTATAACATTATTTAATTATTACTTCAAAGAGAAGATTACAATGATTTTGAAGTTTTATTCTTTCTTGATTAGGCAATGTCAAAAGTTTATTGTCATCCATTACTGAGTTCATATTTTCAATCCACAATGCATCGACATCTCCATCAAATAATATGTATTTTTTGTCTTCTTGTTCAGAATCAAGAGGTTTGTTAACTTCGCGAAAAATATTACTAAGAAGGCCATCTGTCCATTCCCGTGTTATTGGGTCTAGTATACCGTATAACTCAACCACAGTATATGCCTTTAATCAAATAAACATATTATTTATCACTCTTCAAATATACAGCCAATAAAAATACACACATACCTTTGGATTTAAGATTTGAAGACTGGTGGGAATATTCAAATAAGTTTGAGCCATACATAATATTTCGATAATAACAGTTTTTCCACCTCCAGTAGGACCAACGATCATTGTCGAATGTCTACTCATCATGACTTCGTAAAGTTGAGTGATTTTCTCAAGCTAATGTAATTTATCAAATTATTTAAATCGTGTCAAACTTAAAGAACAACATTCTTATTTGATAAATATGAATGAATAAACATCAGTAGTAGTAATATTTTGCTTCAGTGATTCTGAGTCATTGGAGATAGGATATGTACGAAATAAGAACCAACGCAAACCATCAAAAATTAATACACATGCATAAGATTAACATGAAAAATGAAAACGAAAAATAGTAGTAGTGTATGTACATACTTGTTCGGTTAAAACAATATAATTATGTTCTTCCAACATTTTGATCGCAGCTCTATTAAAATCTGGATATTCTACTCTGGGACAGTCAAGATCAGGAAATAAGTCTGTAATAAGACCCAAAAATAAAGGTACATCGTCATATATAAATTTAGGAAGATTCATATCCCTGAGAGCTCTCATTAGGACAAGATTCTCTGCTAAGTCGCCAGATGTTCTTTTTAATTGTCCAGCCATATTAAGTACAGATTTCATAGCTCTTAACCCAAAGTCATAATGCGTTTGTTTGCTAAGTTGTTCTTGCGCCAATTTATGCAAAACTGCCATCTTTTTTGCCAGAATTTTAGCCGTTAGAAAACCAGCACTGAAGAGTTTGATTTGACAAATTAATTCGTTATCTGGCACAACGCATACTACCGGTCTGAAGAGGGCCTTAACGGATTCCGGTAATTCGGTTCGACCAGCATATCCGGGATTCATAGTAATAAATATACCCACTTTTGTATCCAAGGGAATATCGTAATCTTCGAACTATCAATATAAAATATGATTCTTTATACTCTTATTATTCTAGACTAAATTCGATACTCTCTCTCTCTCTCTCTCTCTCTCTCTCTTATGACTGTTAAAAAACAAAATATTATATACGTTGAAGCGCGTACCGTGAAATGTTTACTTTTCATTTGCAATGCTGAGCGTATAGTTTGAAGTTGAGTCGAAATAACGGATAAAACAGAAACATCGATACGGTTAAATTCGTCGAAGCAGCCCCACGCTCCGCATTGAACTAACCCGCTCAATGTTTTACCTATTGCAATATAATCCATTCCTTCTCCGCAATTTGTAACAATACATAATAAACCTAAGGCTTTCGCTAAATCCTTTGTTGTTTCAGTTTTTCCAGTACCAGCAGGACCTTTCAAAAGGAATAATAATATAGAATTGAAAAAAGAACAAACAAAAACATATATCAATATATTGATATATGTTTACCAGCAGGTGCTCCACCCAAGTGCATCGACAATGCTTGAGTAAGGGTTAAATATATTCTATCTGTTAAGGGTGTCACTACTAATCGTCCGTTTAGACCCATGTATTCATATCCATATTCAAAAGCACCCGTACATTGATATATCCACATATTGTCAAGATCGTGTACCCAATAGAATCTAAATTCAAACGATAACAGGCATATACATACATACATACATACATACTTAAATACATGCAAATATACAGCACAAATAACATAAACATAATGTAATGCATCATTGATTTGAACCTTAATTGACTTTCCCATTCAAATTCCATTGGGTCTATAATACTATCTCTTACAAAACCTTCAATTATGTCGCGAATATGTACATCGATTGTTAATAAAGCATCCAATTTTTTTCTGTCATTATTTGTAAGCAAATCACTTCCCATTAGCGATACTACTTCGTCAAGTTGATTGTTCAGTTGTTGCAAATACTAATAACGACAAAATATATATATATATATATATATATATATATATATATATATATATTAAGAAACAAAAGTAAAAATTCAGCTAATTTGAAAAGTACTTCTTTCATAGCTTGTTTCTTTCCCATCGATATTTTATTAAAAACATTTTCCACTTCAGCGGTCCACCAGATTTGATTAGCAGCAAGTATCATCATTCCTTGAAAATCTAATATCCATTCAGATCTTGGACGTCTTATCTGATTAGAAATTGACATGAAAAAATATCTTATTAAAAAATACAAATGAATAAACAAAGGTTTTTTACTTGCTTACTTTTCCATAATCGTAGACGGCTTTTTTTGTTAAATATCGATTAGATATTTTCATTTCATTCAAAACTAAAACCATCCAGTTCTCAATGTTTCCTTCGACGGATACAGAATGTTTTAATTCCATGATTTCTTTTTCACATGATACAAGTGCTGTAACTACATTTCTCTTTTCCTCATTTAAATTGAAACTTAACTTATCTAAGTTATCAAACATTTTGCCAATGTGTTCTTGAATCACTGATGGATCACTGCTACCAAGAATGCTCAGTAATTCATCATCGCTGATAAAATTAAACCTTGGAAAAATAATTCGTTTGCTATTCAAATAATCGGTCAGGGATTTCTGACATCTATCAAGCCCGGCAATCATAGACATAAATTCATCCTTTCTTCCTGAATATACATATATTAAAAGATAATTACATTGATAAAAAAAATGACTAAATTAAATTTGTCTATTGCGTATTGCTTAATAAGAAACGTTGATTGATTTTTTTTTTTTTTTTCTATCCTTGCCTTGAATGGTACAGCAATCATGGACATTTAATTTTCTTGATGTATCCATCATAATCTTTCTATATGCTTTGTCAATGTCATCGAATTTTCTAGCCTCTTCTGGAAGTTGCAATCGAATATCTCCTCCCACAAAAATACCTTCCAAATATAACCACTTTTGTTGTAGTTGCATCCATAATTCCAATACTTCTGATATTGTATGCATAGTCTTTTCCCAGTTTTGAACTACATTAAGAAAGGGTCCGATAAATTGTGAGGCTGCCATGCTGCTCACATTTAACATATTATCCTCTAAGATTTGATTAAGTTCGTCAATGGGACCAAGAATGAATCCTCGATCTTCAAGTCCTTTACAAATTATTTGCACGTTGTAATTACTATATATATGTATATATATGACTTTATAATTACCTTTAAAATGTCGTATTACGGTAAATTCCGTGTTTTTCCAAATTTCTGCAATTTCTTTGACCCCCTTTTCTATTGCTAATTCCTTAATAGCATTTGTTACGATGCTTTGCGCTATTTCTTGGTACCTCCCCAAATCCATGGCAAACATATTTTCTAGTGTAAACCTTAAAACACATAAGAGATATTAGAATATAACCGTGATTAACGTTTTGCCAACTAACCGATCTAACTCACCCTTCCATTAAACCAATTTTTTGTTCACCCATATTCTAATATATACGTATATATATATATATTTTTTATAGTTGCTGTTACCTTATAATGTCTATTTCTTATAGAGTAGAAATATTAGAAATCACTACCGTTGTAAAAGTTTGTAAACAATTATAAAGAAAAAAGAAAAAAGAAAATGTCTTTAAACATTAACCTTTCGCCCCTTTCTAATAATTCTAAAAAGTGTGACATATAATTATATTACTACATAATTCAATATTACAAAAACTATTACGTACTTATAGATAATATGGTCATTAGTTTAACACTTTAACGACCGCTAGCCTATTAATAGGATTTTTGTTTGTCACCGATCCTTATCGAACAAAAATTTATTAATCATCTTTTAATTATCGGTTGACATTGCAATCTTTATCGCACGTCGCATGTCACTATCATTACATGAACAATACTTTGTTATTAGAATCTTATTTAGCATCCAATTAAAATTTATTAGTAGAATTTGCGGCAGAAGTGTCGGCACGTCTGACCGTGCATATGCTGTTGGAACCCTAGCGGTCGGTAAAGTCTTAAGTATCTATAGAAATTAACATAATAATGATAAATTAACTACGAATAGTTACTAAAGTATCTTAAAACTATACAGTTTTACTTAATGAGTCATATGTCCTTGAGAACATGATTGATTTTAATTATTTGCGCACCTATCTGGATTCATATCAAAGTATTGTCCAGTTCTTTGCATTAAATCCATCCAATGTCTTTCACGCATTGCTTCGTTTTTCAATTCAACAAATAATGGTACAGAATTTTTAAAGTTTCTCATATTAATTTCCAAAGTCTGCCCAATGTTCAACTTCTTCACTGCTTTTGGAAATCTTTGGAACTGTTTGATGAAGTGTTCCATACCGTCGAGTAATTGTTGCGGGTTCAAATTCACCCACAATGTCTGAGCCCATTCACTCCTAGCATCTTTTTGTTCTTTATATAAACTAAATAATGTCTTCATGCCTTCGTAGTCTTCTTGAACTTTGAAAAATGCTGTATAATCAGCTGGATCAAGATCAAATAACATTTGAGAGTTTGTCAAATTATGACGTTTCTCATCATACTTTTCTATCAATTTTCCATACTCCTAAAAAAAAAGAAAAAAAAAAAGAAAAGAAAAGCTTTATCCGTTTGAAACATACAATATATGGTATTATATCTTTATACAGTATGTATTAAGACATACAGTCATCTTTTGTACACCTAGATCAAGATTGTCTCCAACACTGCCTGGACCATTATTTAGAAAATCTTCAATGAATTTGGCAAGTTCATTATTGAATTCTATTATTTGATCTTGAATCATTTGAGCAAATTTCTCTCTGGTAGTAATAATCGTTGAAGCTCGATAAAGTGCTCCGAGGTACAAAGATTCCCAATCAGTTTGAATATCATAAGCCATCTTTTCATCCATTTCAGAAAATACTATTCCATGTGCATAAAGGGTTTTGAAGGTTTCCTTGAGAAAAGTCACATTGATAAATGTTGATTGAAAAATTGACCAATTGTCAAAATCTTACGAATTGACAAACCTGATATGACATGTATTGTACTTCTGCTTGAATAGCCATTTTTTTAATATCAGAAATAGCTTGCATAATCATTGTAAAGCGTTCTAATCCGGTAATTACTAATTCAACTTTGTTGCGATACTGCTCCATTAATTCTTTAAACTCGTTCATTTTTTTCATGGTCTCGGTAAGAAGAAAATTACCAAGCACTTGCTTCCATTCCATTGCATGCTGTTCTATACCTCTCATTAATGGTTTTAAATTGATCCTTGTGATTGTAGATTAATATTAAATAGTTGAAAAAAAAAAGATGTTACAAATGTAACATAAGATAGCTAAAGTATCTCACCATTGACAGATATATTAATAAGTGTGCTAAAGACAAATGAATGTGTATAATACTGAAATGATATATTGAAGAAATTTACCGTATGCAAGATATATCGATATTACGTTCCATATCATCGAGCTCATCTAAAATACCACCATAAAATGTAAATTTTTCATCATATTGTCGAAGTGTAGGCTTAGTCGATGCAAACTTTTCTCCAGCTACAGTTTTATCAAAAGTCCAAAGATTAGAATATTTCTTCCATTTTTGTAAATACTTCCAACAATCAGCGGATATTTTATAAGCTGTATCCTGAATTGCTATTATAAGATCGTTAATTACCTATGACATAAATAATATCTTCAGTATCTCAATATATACGCGTTACATAAATGTATATACATGTAATGTGTGCTCTCTACACACAGTTGTGTAGTGTAGTATTGAAATGAAATTACTTGAATACTCATCACATCTTCGAAGAAAGAAACTGTTAACAATTCTTCCGAGGAATTTTTTCTTTGGGGTTTACACTCTATACAAGTACCATTCATCCATCTGGGAAATATTTTCAATCTCTCTAATAAATCCTGTACATTGTGTACAATAATATTATTCATTTCGTTAGGCGACGGTCTTAAAATGACCTCTGATGCTACTAATACGGCATCCACTTGAAATGTCACTTTGTTATCGGATAATATCTTATTCAAAAATTCCATATTTTTGGCCATACATCTACAAAAAATAGCAAATGAATAAATAAATACTCTACGCTATAACAAACGCTAATAACAAATCTAAATACGTTATAAACGCTGCAAATAAATGTTTTTCATATTTTTCATAAAGAAGACGCATTGTTGGACTCCTTCCAGTAGAAGTTCCTTCCACTAAGCTTTCAATTTTCAACAGCATAGGGCTTGTAGAATGATATGCCTTTAACATCGCACAAATTAACTCTGTTCTGTGAGTCTCTATTTCTATAAAAAATTCCTGTGTCCACAACAAATTTTTATTTATTATTCTAATTTTAATTAAAACATGTTTATATTAAGATATGCTTTATAAAATAATACTATTGAACCTTGCAAGGTAATAAATTTGCATCACCGCCATTGTTTGATTCTTTGATTGATGATGCATCAGATTGCATATTTACAGATACTAAATTATAATTCTGTATTTCAGATGTAATTCTTTCATCTAATTCTTTTTTTAATTGATTAATCTGTTCAACGATAGATTTTAAATTTTTCAATAATTTTTCACATAATGTAGTATAGTCAATTATACTCAAAGAATTCCAATTAAATCGTATAATTCCTGGTTGAATATGTTTTTCAATACTAAGAAGAGTGTTTTTCAACAACTGGATCTATAACCACAGATAATGTTTCATTAACTATTCATGAAATATCTCAATTATGCACATTACATACATCCGATTTGTCTAACTTATCAATGATCACGTTGTATTCATTAATCATTTTTTCTACCGCCTCCATGTCTGTCCTTAGTCGATTTTTCTGAATACCAATATTTCTTATAATATCAGGCAAGTTAAAACCTAATTGTTCCATCAGTTCTGCCTGTTCCAAAAATAACATTGGATTATCATTTATTTTCATTATATATCTTCATATTGATTTTTTTGTATTTTTTTTTTTTTTTGTATTAATTAGTTAAATAAGTTGATCAATATTTACCTCGCGAATTATTTCAAAAATTTCCCAATTAAAATTGATTTCGAAACGTAATTGACATTCGATCAGAGTAGAGTCTTGCATAAAGTCAATATACTTTTGTTTTTGAGTAAAAGCGTTTTGTTTGCTTTGCACGGATATAACAGAAGTTGTTTTTTGACCTTTCTGCGAATGAATCGATCTACTACCTCCTCTGATTGATATCGCTTTAGAACCACCAATCGAACTCAGAGTATCTACATATATAATAACAAATTATTATTGTAGCACAATAACAAATACAAGAGTAAAAGGAAGAAATGTACGTTTACAAATATTCAATTCAAATGTAATTGTGTGTGTGTGTGTGTGTGTGTGTGTGTGCGCGCAAAGTGATTGATATTATCAAGATTTTACCAATGCTTGGTTTTGACATTAACTGGTCTAATTTGTGTAAAATTCCAACAGGCATTTGCTCCCTCCCTTTTAATCTTTTATGTGTACGCAAAATGGCACCATTTTTTAATTTAACTTCGTCTGGAAACAATAGAACATCATATATTCATCTAGACGATGAAGAAATTATTAGAGAAATGGTAAGAATATTAAGAGAAACAATGTTTGAAAACCTTCTTCGCTTTCCTCTTCTATTGGTACTACTTTGAGCACATTACTTTCCATAATACTGTTAATGGTTTCTTGAGCTTTGTCAATCCAAGAATTGAACTTCATTTCTTCAAAAGACTTCAACTGTTTACTTATATCAAGATATTGACTGAAACCCATAAGCTTCAATTTCTTATGTTTTAATTCCTGTATGTCTTGAAAGTATAAGACAGATCCTTTGAGAGAATAAAACAATTGTCTTGCCCAAAAAATTGCGCCTGCTATTGGTGGATGGTATGTCAATAAAGGAGGATTTCGTTTACCTGAAAACATATACATATGTATATTAATTACTTATTACTGCTTTATTTGAATAACAAATCTCAAAGTGTCTAACCTCTGTTGTATATATTTTCCACAGAGCCTATTTCTTTACTGAATTGTTGCATAGTCATTTCAAATTTACTAGATAAAATGTCTCGTATGGCAACTCTAGTTTTTCTATCCTTGAATTTGAAAAGCATTTTGAGTGCATCTTTTGAGTTGATGAGAACTTTGAAACATTCGTCAATGAAAAATTTCGCATCATTTTCTAAATAAGAAACTTCTGTATTGAAACGTAAAATTGTTGCTTCCCAATTTTCTTTGTTAAACGGACTGAAGACATCGAATTCGGCCAACTTAAATGGCTCCAATAATAATCCAACTCGTTTTATAATCGTATCAATATGTGCTGGTTCGTAAATGATTGATTTCAAATCGGTTCCAAATATATTATAAAAATCTTGAATAACATTGGCTACAACATTAATATCCTTGCAAACACCCGCTATGTATTCTGTCTCTTGAAAAAGACGTTTCTGATCAAATTCCCAACGTGCACCTTTTCCTGTATACTCAATATCATCTCTCGTTTTTAAATATGATATTTTCCAATTTTTCATCATCTCGTGAGCATCTTTAGATTTTTGTAAAACAATTTCTAATGGATAGCTACAAAATATTATTTCAATTATTTAATATATCATTCGATAAGATCACAAAAAATAATCAAATAAAGTAACTACTAATGTACTTAAATAACTTGTCGATTGATAAATTTGTTCGGATGTTTTGACAAAGTTGCCACGAAATTCTTTCAAATAAAGACATCATTTTATCTTCGGAAGAATAATAAGATGACAATATCCACATCATTTTTAATCCATTTAACAAGGAGGGAATAACGTTGTTAATTTGCTTGAATTTGTCTGTGTGACTTATTAACTGTTAATATTAACAAGTGGGTATTTTCAAAAAATAATCATCACATCACAATACAACAATATATAAGTTAATGAAATTAGAAAAATAGTTGAAACAGATCAAATTCTATTATACCTTGAAATGTCTCATAATGGTTAAGAGAAATTTGGTATTATCTCGTGCTTCATTGTAATATTTCCAAAGTTCGTTTTTAAAATGGTTAAAAGCTGAAGGTATAGGAGACAAAATTTTATTCAATAGTTTAAGCATTCTCTGAATAATAGGAATTTTTAATTGTTCGACAAGAATTGACAGTCCCGTCTCACGTTCATGCCAATAATGGTATTCAGCGATTGGTCCTTTATCTTCAGCTAACTTATTAATGTATGATTTTAATACCTCCAATTAAAACATTAATGTGTGATCATATTGATATATTAAATAAAGATAATTATTTATTTTTAGATATTTGTTTAATTAATCTAATATATACTAGTTGTATATGCGTTCCCCAAGACATGATTACTTCTTCCAGTTGGTCAATAATATATTTATTATTTAATAAAACTTCATCCGGCACAGTAGAACTTTCTAATTCGGGAATTTTTGGTATTGTTAATAGAATATCACTTTCTGTATGCTGTAAAGCCCTAGAAGCATTAAATGCAAAAAAGTAAGTATCTAATATTTCATTCAACATGTTGACATAATTTAGTTATAATATGAACCGAACGAACGAACCATTGTACGTTAGCTGACAGTTTGTCTAAATATTCCAAGATATCTTTTTTACTTTGCTCTGCTTCAGTTTCTTCTTTTATTTTCTCTCCGCTACTTGAAATAGTTAATGCACTACGTGCTATTAAAGATTTTTGAATTAATCTATCTTCTACTTCCGTATCGTCGTGAATATCATTTATTTCATCTGACAACACTTTTTCTGTAATAATTTGTGAAGTTTCTTGGGACTTTTTTGAAAGCGAAAGAGATACTCGCCGAAAATCAGATGGCCTTCTGTACGTGGAAATCTATTTGTAAATAAATAAACTTATTCAAATGACATGAGTCACACCTTGTACATTGTGTCGTTGATGTGTAACATGTGTATCGTATAAACCTTAGATTCAGCAATCTCAGCTAGGGTAGACGATGCTTTTACTATATCCGAGGCAGCTACTACTTCATTAGACTCTTCAATTTTATAATATTTTCCAAAATAAGGGCCTCGAAACTGTTTATTAACTAAAGGTTTGAATACTTGGACAAGCAATGTATTCAAAGATGCTAAAAAGTGTCCATTGATAGATCCGACGATCAAATTAGTTGGCATGTGATCGAGACATTCCTCGTACGTTTCAAAAGGTGGAACTGCTTCTTCGTTTATTCTCAAAAAGTAAAAAAAGTTCATATTTTGAAGATCAAAATGTTGTCCATCAATTTCCCCGCATATTATATGAATAACTGGCTTTTTCCTCTCTTTGTCTACCATTTTCTAGAACAAGAAGAAGAAGAAGAAGAAGAAATACTTCTTGAAGTTCCATTATTGCAATTTAAAGTTATTAATTTTGCTCAATTTTTCTGATTACCTTAGTCAAGATATATTTATCTTCCTCGCCTAGTGGTGGAACAAACTTTTGCATATCTAAATAATATTTATATACGTATATTACTTTATAAAATGAGTTGACAAATAATCTATTAATATATTATTACCTATGCCATTATTTTTGAACCGATCTTTTCTCATAAAATGCATTGTAATATCACCACTCGATTTTACTAAACTTTCTTCTTCTTCGTCTTCTATTTCTTCTTCGCTGGATGAGGAATCTATACTCGATTCCAAACTGATAGAAGACAATCCAATCTGACTTTTTATCGAACTAGTTTTACTTTTACCTTTCTTTAGTCTCCTTTTTTTCTTTTTTTTCTTTTCATCGACCTTCTCGACTTTTCCTAACATTTCAAATAATCTTTGTTAATGCGCTAACTTCATTTCATTTTTTTTTTTTCGTGTTAACTTAATGTGCGTATATTAAGATATAACTTATATAAAAGAGCAATTTTTGTATATGTTAGTTAATAAGTAAAATAACTATAATACTTACTTTCCCAAACTGCTATTTCTTCTTGAACTATTTCTTTTAAATATGTTTTGTAAAAGAAAATGATTTTCTTTTCGAGATTTGTAGTTGAATATAAATTATGATTTAAAAAATTCATCAATTTCTCCTCATAATATCCATTGTCTGCCTAATGAATGAGCACAAAATAATAAATGTCATTTTTGATAACTATTTTAATTGATAAATTATACAAATTATATGAAAAATATAAATATATTACGCGTATGAGTTTATCAAATAGATGTTCGTGACCAGGTAAGCCTAAGAATCGTAATACCCGTTCTCTAATCCAAATAATACTGCAAAATGATGATTCTTTGTTACAAATAATATTTGCTAAATTTAATCATTCTTAAACTATCAATGTATGGTGTTAGAGAAAAGTCTATTACCGACTATCCAATTCTAGAAAATCGGGCTGCGCATCGTAAGTTTCTTCTTCGTCCTCTTTTTTGAAATTATCTTGGTAAGGTTCTACAATTATCGTTGACATTTTTCCATATCCTATAATAACATTTTTACGATATTTTTTTCAATTTTTGAAGAAATTATTTTTCCTCCTAAGGTTATAATGTGATTACACTGTAATCTATTATAAAACACTGAATTGTTTAAACTGTAGTAAGCACTGTTTCCTTTGTTTTATTTTTCAGATGAAATTAATCATCGAAATAGCAATCCTTGACAAATTTCAGACGATATCAAATTAAAATAGTAGTGAATTTTTGTGATATATCTATATGTCTTAAGAAAAATAGTTAGGCGTTTTCGGGGAAGTTAATCTTAGTTGTTTTATAAAATATTATTTAATCCCTTAAATCAATGGGAAAACATTATTTCGAGATTAGATGATTATCGTTTAGAAAGCCTTCAAACAAAGAAACATTTTCTATATGTCTCCGGACTTACAACTTTTGCAGTATGGACTATGGATATTGAAACAAAATTAAAGAAAATTTTTCTTATATTTGAGGTCAAATTTCCATTTTAAAATGGTTTAAACCTTCACTACTTGTCTTTCACGAATTCAAATATCACCTAGTTGAAGTATGTAATTCTGTCTTCTTTCATATTTTAACTGGTCAGTTAATTCAGTCAGTTATTTCGTGGTTTAAATAATTATTTCAAGAATTAACGTTAAAATATATACACAAATACCGTAAATGCAGAAATGATTTTGAAAAGAATAACAAGAAATTCACCAAATCTTTGTCGACTTATTATGTTTCTTGCAGGCGAGTTATCGATCAAACTTACATTGTCATGGAATATGGGTTAATTTTATAAATAGAGAATGAAATTATATACATAGAAATACATTTTTTTGTAAATATGCAAAATTTGTATTTGTAATTACATGTTATTACATCGTAACTACATAGATTTAAATTATGCAAATATATATTATGTACAAATATAGAACTATTTTATTGAATATCTTGAAATTATGTTTATAAACATTCATATATTAAAAATATATATATAGAGAGATAGATGTAGGATTAAATTTATTGAGGGGTAATTAATAAGTATAGTAAAATTCTCGCAGTAACACGCACACACACATGTAGTACACACCTCGATATACTCTCTGGAACTTTTTAACAACATTCTTTCATCGCCCTTTGATAAGCTCGAAGCTTACTCGCTAATATATTCTTTTTTTCCTTTTCGAAACGCACATTCAAGTTAAGCAATTCATATACACATGCATACTCACTTTCATCCCACATATATATACATATACATATATCTGTCTGTCTGTCTCTCTGTGTGTGTGTGTGTGTGTGTGCGTGTGCGTGCGTGAATGTGATCACATTTGAAAGAGAGTAGGAGAATTGAAAAAATAATGTATAAGTTATTAAATTTGAGCCGATGAAGATCGAGAATCATTGTGAGATGATTTATCAATCGTCGTCTCCACGTTCAGTGATTTATTTGTGTTACTTTCGTGAATCGATTCGTCTAATAAACCACTAAGAATAGCATCGATGTATTTATTTCGACCTTCGCTCGTATCGAAAGAAAATCCTATCGAAGGTAGGAACTCCGTTTCCACAACGGTTTTAACGGATTCTGTGGTAGTGGTCGTTTTTCGAAATGACGTCGTTGAAGAGTTATCATATTCCTTAGACTCCTCAAAATCTAAAGATCTTTGTATTTGAGGTAGCTGACTAATTGTTAGACGATTTTCTACATTGTTTAACGGCCTATCAAAATTGTTGGTCAATTCGTCCAGGACTCGATCTTTCGAAATACTTTGTGGAATTCCTTCCAAAATATCTCTTAATCGTGGCATGACATTTTTTTTATCACTATTAGGATTGACACTCTCGAAAATGTTCTCTCTTGATAACCTATCGTCAATGGATTTAATCGTCGTGATAGGTAATACACTTTGATCCTGGTTAGAATCTACATTTGATTTTAATCCTTGAAAATGATTTAAGGAGAAAGGTCGAGGAATATGATCGATTTTGAGTAATTCTGCCATTAGTTGTAGAAGACTTAAAGCGTTTACGTTACTCGTACCAGCATTGCCTTCTAATTCCTTTTGATTGCTCGATAAATTCATTGTATCTTTAACAAAAGGTATTTTATTATTATCGTTATATGGAAAATCGCCATTTCGACTCTCAGTAACCCCCTCGATAGATTTGACAATTTCGATTTGATCTAATCTATCAGAACCAATATTGCCTTCTACTTTCTTTTGATTGTTCGAAAAATTTATTGTATCTTTGAAAAAAGGTATTTTATTATTATCGTTATATGGAAAATCGCTATTTCGACTCTCAGTAACGCTCTCGATAGATTCGACAATTTCGACTTGACCTAATCTATCAAGACGAGAATTGTTTCTCTCATGTACTTTGATTAAGCTACTAATTAAGTCATCTTTGGTTGGTACTGATTCATTTTTTTGATTCAGGGTCACGGATATTTCATACGGGGACTTGTTTAGTTCGATCGCATCTTCTATATTTGATATAGATTTGAAACTTGTCGCAATTTTTGCTCGATCGTCTCCATTGGAAATTCCTATCAATTCGCTAACGAATTTTCCTTCTTCCTGTTGCCTCGAGTTTCTTCGAGCGTTTTCGTCTTCTTTTTTGCTTTGAATAGACGTATCAAATCTGGAAGTTTGGGTGACAATCTCGTCGACGGTATCCTTCAAATTGAAGCCAATGAACGGAGGTTCTATGTCTGTTGCCGGAAAATCAGTAGTTTGCTGGAACCAAGGTACCGATAGGTTCGTTGATTCATTAATTAAGTGTTCATCTATTGGGATTTGTGTAGTACTTTGCACCTCGGAGTAGATATTTGTATGGTGCGACGTATGAAAAATGGGTGTTTTAGTTGAAGGATAATCTGGAACATTTATTCGAAATTTCGCTTCGGTAATAACTGGTGGTTTTAAAATAATGTCAGGTTGTAAAATAGTCGAATCGATAATTGTTTCACTCTTGAAATCGTCATTGTTAAAAAGATCTGGATTTTCCGTAGAATATAATTTCGTATCTAATGATATCGTTGTTTCCGTTGACGTTAGATTTTCCTTGTACGACAAAGTAGTCGATGATTCTTCTATTTCTGTATTAATGCCTTCAAATTTGAAACGCGATAAATATTCGACAATAGGAGTTGTACTTTTGTCTAAAATACTTGCATAATTTAGAGTATCGGTCGTATCAGTTGGCCACTGATCGATCGGTTTTATATTACTTCTAATCGATTCGGTTAAATTATTCCGATTTGAGTCTAGGGACAAGGAACTATCTTCATTCGTATCTTTCGCATTGTCTTTTGAATCTTGCACGTGAATCCTGAATTTGCTTGATTTATTAAAAGCTCGACCGATGCCAATACTTTCTTTTAATTCAATATCATCAATATATTCTTCTCCGATGAATGAATCTTCAAGTCGTTCATCGACTGAATCGATACGTTTAACAACTTCGTAACTATCCGAAGGTTCGTCTTTCAAATGATCGTGATCCAGATCTTCATTATAGTTTTTGTAGCTTTGCGGATTACTGTCGTTGTACTTTCCTTTTGAATTTTGATTAAAACTAGAAAGGGTGGATAGCGTGAAGAAGCTTTTAGATTCTTGGCTGTGCGTGTAAAGATGATCGGAACTTTCGATGTCTTGATCGAACCTGTTATAAACTAAAGTTGAAGGTCTATTAGTCGTCGGTATTGTTGGCGAATACAATTTCCTTGTGGTAGTAGTTACAGTCGGTACGGTTGGCGCATATGACGGCTGAAACTCATTTATCCTTTTTCCTAATTTGTCCTGAATATCCTGGTAATCATATTTCCTTGGCTCTTTCTCTCGATAATTTTCTTCTTCAATTTTTTCGATACGAATTATAGGCGAATCTTGATACGGTCGATTGAAATAATGTTTACTATAGAAAGAATTAGGATAGATTGGATTTACTCTTTCTGAATGTTCTTCGTAAGTAGAAAAAAACTGATTGGGGAGAGTTTTCTCCCGTGGAAGATCATTGCGATAAACTGGTAAATCATTCCTAGTAGAATCGATCGTAATATAATCGATGATCTTTCCTCCTCTATCAGGATCTACTAATTCGTCACTGGCAACATCCGTTCCAGTTTGCAGACCCATCATACCGTAAGCTTTGCGTATCAATTCGTCGTCGTCTTCTTGATAGTGATTATCGTGATTTATTTCAATAAATTTGCGAGTCGTCGAACAATCAACTTTACTCCACCAATCGCAAGTGAGAAGCTTTTGACTGAAGATGGATCCAATCGGGCACAAGAACGAGGAAACCAAGATGTCGTGACAAACATGAAATACTTGGCATCCAGCTACTTCGTCCGCATAATATCCTGTCGAAGAAAAATACATCCAATAATATGTTACTTTATTACTGCATTTTTTCTTTTTACAAATAATATTTTTTCGCTATATTGTACGTCATTAATACTACCTTTATATCAACGCTTGAAACATGCTGACCTATTGCGAAAGCAAAGAAAATACTCTAACATAAGAGAATCGTCGTAGTCATTCGTCTTACGTTAGAAACGAACGTCTATATGTATATATATACATATAAGTATATATCATCCTTGACATCGATGATGCTAAAGGTGACAAAGACTTTTAAGCGATATGCAGCAATAATTATTATCACGATGCTGTTTTTCTAGTCATTTGTTCTTAGCCATAATGTTTAAATATAGCGACTTACCGCGTGAACGCCCTTCACACGAAAAACCTGTCTGCGGTAATGTAGTGTAAGCTGGATAATCGATCTCCGGTTCACCGGGGATATTCATCCTGATGTCACTGTGATCTTAAATAGAAAGAAAATACAAGAAATATAAAGATCAGTAGCAAATGTCATTTCTAGAGATATTAATTTATACCGATTGCGTTTTACCTTGTTTATCTTTATATCGATCATATTGGCCACCGGCTGATCCATAGCTATCGAAGGTACCCTCTTCCTCGGGATCAAAATATTTTCTGTCGGATTGATAAAGTTTCATTAATTCATTGTTTATAACTGTTCCATCAATATTATAATCGTTCAAAATTGATCATTCAATCATCCAACCTTCCTCTAGTACCATCAATCGCTCTGCGCGACAGGAAGCTTCTCCGTGGGACTTCATGCTCAAGACTACCGTGAACGTTGCACAAGACTACGGTCACGAGATCTATTTACAAGGAATATGAATGAAATCTATGTATTATATGTTTTAATAAAAAGCAGTAATATACGTTCATTTTACATAAATATATATATATATATATATCTATCTATCCGTTCGCTAATATTTCAATGATTGCTTTCTATTTGCTAGTCAATCCTTTTTTGTATTACCACACTATTCTTTTTTTTTTTTCTAGAATAACTCTAAAGTCTCTCTAATTGTAAAAGTAACTCTAAAGATTATTTCACATTGAGGCGTGAATAAAAAAGAAAGAAATGAGAGAGCACTTTCGCTGATTCAAATTAATAGCGTTAATAACTTCCAAGTACAGGGAGCTCTATTTGCGATGTCCTAACCGCAAGGCAGAAATTTTCTCTAACAAAGTATAGACGATCTCCTTCCGGGAGGACATTTTAATCCTTACTTTAGAAGAAAGAAAGTAATGTGCCGAAACAATGATGCACGCTTCGTTACCAGTAAGTCTATTTAAATTTTATATGCTTCTTCCACATATTATAGAATAAAATTTACTTAGCTTCTTCGAGATATATCAAAATCGTTACATTACTAAACGTATCTTCTTTTCGATGTCACGCAACAATAAAGTATGTTTCGAAGTCTATTATGTTTTCTATGTTTATTTATTTTATTTTCTAATGAAATCAAATCGATTGAAGATAATGAAAAGATTACTTTCTCATACTATCGTGCTCGTTATTGATTCATATTCGAAACAAATACCGTGCGTGAAAGGATGTTGCGTAAGGCTATAGTATTAAAATAGAAACATAAGACCGATAGAATATTATGTATTCATTTTAAAAAATCCATCATTTTGATTTCGATTTGTTGTTAGAAAATTAATAAAATAACAAAGAGCAAATGTATATAGGAATGAATATGGGTTTTACCTTCTCTCGAAGTGTGTGAAGTTTCGTTAAAAAAATGGTTATTACAAAATTGGAATGTTATTCAGAAGGAAAAAGGAACATCGAAGAAGATGATTTATTATTGATAGACTTACATAGAAGAAGCTGGATGATTGGCATTTTTGCGTGACGTTATTATGTGTCTCAAAAGTCTCGTAGGACCGACATCGTCCGTCCACTGCGAAGCACCCGATGCACTGCCACTTCTCGATGATCGTTCCTTGCCGAGTCTTCTTCGTACCTCTTACCTTTCTTCCTCGCTTTCTACCTCTCACCTGGCCATCGCTCGTACCATCCCTCGCGAAAAGAATGTCCGAGTGCCGCCGCGCCTTAAGTCATCCTCTTAGAAAAACTTTCCTTGCTTCGTTAAAAACATCTCTTTCATATGCCTGAAAAAATCATTACAGCTCATTAGTGTAGATTGACAAAAAAGGAGATTAGGACATTTTTAAGGAAACGTCATTTCTTTGGATATACTACGAGTTTCGGGAAATAGAGAGAAAAAAAAAAAAATATCTTCAGCATCTTTTTGGCGAAAGCAAAACTATATGACCCAGATGCGCATTGCATCTGACCATAGGTAGTAGTAAGGTAGGTAGAAATTCAAGAAAGACGACACACGTACATATAAACATATTATGTAAGTTCGATGACATTGCCTCAGTTCTGCACATATGCCCTTCTCCTCCAACTTCTCCTCCTCTTCCTTCTTCGCCACCACATTTTTAACGTCCTTCTTTGCTCTTCTCCAGGGAATTACTTTCGTCTTACGTAATCATTGATTCTCTCTTTCTCTCTATCTCTTTCTCCCTCTCTGTTTCTCTTTCGTTCACTCACGCATTTACTCGACTTAGCACGAATCGATCAATTTTTTTACGTTCCATCAATAGACATTGGCCATTTTTAACATATTTTCATTTTTTGAGATTGTTTTTAAAAGGATTGTTGTTAATGTTAACACTTTGATTTTTCTATTTCATCGAAAAAAGTAACTATTAAGCAAGGATATAAATTCAAACTTTCTCTTATTATTAGGGGTG